ACTAGAGCGAAATTTGATTCACAAAGGGTGATATTGGATGGATACTGTAAAACAGAAGTTTAGTTAATACCGCAAATAATATATTCTTTACAGACAAAAATCCTAGACATGGCGGCTAGAAAGAGCCAGCAAAAAATAACACAAATCTATTTAACTGGTTCGAAATGATTGAGCAGTGTTGCGCTTTTGAGTGCAAGAAGCTAGAACTAAACTGCACTGAACATTTTTGTTGGTCTACAACGTAAAATATGCCTTAAGTGAGCAAAATTCAGAATGAATGGAAAAAGTACATTACATAGTTAGGGTAGACAGCTCAAATTTCTCATTTTTCCCAATTTTGGCTTGGGCTAACCCTTCTCCCTTACGGCTTCTCATCTGCTCATAAGCCCTCACACATTCATTTGATGCGCTGATTTGCATGAGTCATTCTACAACTGGAACTGATGCAAGAAATGGGAAAACCGTAAACATTAAAACTCCTCTACGAATAGCGTGATTCATACTTTGCGAAAACAGTGCGAAAATAGTAGTATGAGAAAAAAAAGTGAGCTGAATATGAAAAAAAGTAGGCGAAAACAAGAAATTGGCGAGCAATTCTTGGATTTATGCTAGCAAGACGGTATGCCTAATTCTGAAGATATGGCTAGGAACCCCGTACTGGAAAGCATAAATTTATTTCGAGACTTGATCACTTTAGCAAACCAAACATTTCTTCTCAAAAGATGATGACTGATGGGAAAAGTTCAAAAAATGCACCGATCAATATAAAATAAAAATGAATTGCACGTACCGTTACATCCGCACATGCATCAATGGGAATAGCATGTGCAGCACATCCGATAGCTTCATGACCAAATGAGAACGTTACTATATCAGCACCGAAATTTGCTCCCGTAGCTTCACAACGTTGAACGGAACGTCGCATACCCATACGAGCTGGTTCCAACTTAAATTCATAGTCGTTACTAAGCAAATGCTTGCAAGAATCGAAAAAACTAACCAACTAGTTCAAAAAAACTAGTTACTGCAAAGCAACCAAAATTAAGATGAAAAGACTTACCACTTCGACAACAAACTGTCCATTTACAGAGACTGTGTGAATAATCAGGATAATGAAGGCATAGATGTTGATAGCCAAAGACGGATAGAAATCATGCAATTGTAACATTCTAATGGTTCAATTTCGTCGCTTCAATCACTCTTTGAGGGATGGCGACGCTCCTTAAATCGCCATAAAACGGAAACTGAAACAGAATTTATGAGCTATATCTGCATAATGGTTACAGCACACAGACTGGCCGCCGATTGAGCGATATCAACAGGAAAAAAAGCCCATTGAGGAAGGATTAAATGAATGAGTTTAGAGAGGAATGATTGCTTCGAACTCATCAAAGCAATAGAAGAGGCAGAATGAAGAAAAGAAATGAAACAAAAGCGCAGTCACGTATGAAAACAGCAGCTTTATTGATGAACAGACGCAAAACGACGCCCATGAGATAAATTTTTGCTGTTTGAGGTGGAAAAACCACATTGGCCGTACCATGCCGTTTCTACCACACATTGATAAAAGATGTCTGAATATGAAAGTGGACGTGCACATTGCCGGTCAGCTGATCAGCGCAAAGCGCTGTGTAAAAATCGATCGGCTCCTTAGCACCTACTGAAAACATCGCAAAATCCAGATGCGTCATTTATAACAATTACGTCGGATCTGTGGAAACAATGGCGAGAAGAAAAAAAAAGAAATACCTGTCGAAGCAGTGAAAAACGAAGTGATGAACCGCGAGACGGGATTAATCGAGTCGAAATGAACCTTCCTTAGAGAATGCTCGTCAGAAATGAAGGAGGGTGTGCATGCACACAGGAAACAATGAATCTCGGCAAAATAATTTCAAATGGATTTTAAATTCCTTTGTAAGAGTTCTTTTTTCACTTTTACAGCGTTTCCTTTTCTTCTGAAAGTCTCAGGTGATAAGAGTCACTTCCTCAATGCTAGGTGAAGGTCCATCTTTCGCAAAGACGCCGGGCGCTGATAAAACTTGTGTCATATATTGATCAAAATACAAAAGACGTGTTGAAGGTTGGATTCCTGTGAAGTCATGAGACAGCAGAAAAGTATCCGTCCGATCCATCACGGCACAACACATCAATAGGAACCGCATATTTATCGACTTCAGTAAGGTGGAGTGTAATACCCAACGATTACACAGAAAAAAAATTCGAGACCACTCATCAATCAAGTGACGATCTCGCAACAGCGTCGAGTTACTATGAGGTAATGGTGGATATAAGCTTTCTTGTGAAAAATGTAATCGATAGTCTCATTTTTTCAGGTGGAGTGGTCTTCCAATGGCCTTTGAATGGTGAAATATGCAAAGAAGAATGAAGCTAGGGAGAAGGAAGATAAAACTCTTTTCGTGCTGGAATGGCTTAGCAATAACGAC